GATGAACTTAATCCACAAAGCAAGCTCTCAATTCTAGCTACACTAAAGAGCTTGTTATAGCTAGTTTGCGGAAATATAAATGAGTAAGTGAGGTGATTATACCGCCGTGTAGAGGAGTGAACCAATCACAAGATGAATACTTTATCAATCATTGGGAGAATATCAAAGGGCAAGAGACAACTAATTTTCTCCTGAGGTTCACGTGCTTGCCAACACGCTACGTCCCCATTGTGTTGACCAACACTTAGTGGTTCGGCGGCTAAGAGGTGTTGCACGAACCTCGTCCACACAATTGGACACTGCAAGAACCTACCTACAAGTGAGGTAACTCAATGACACGAGCAATCCACTAGAGTTACCTTTCGGTGCTCCACCGGGGAAGGTACAAACCCCCTCACAATCACCGGAGATGGCCACGAACAATCACCAACTCGTGCCAATCCTCTTCCGCTGCTCCAAGCCGTCTAGGTGGTGGCAACCACCAAGAGCAACAAGCAAATCCCGCAGCAAAACACAAACACCAAGTGCCTCTAGATGCAATCACTCAAGCATTGCACTTGGATTCTCTCCTAATCTCACAAAGATGATGAATCAATGATGGAGATGAGTGGGAGGGCTTTGGCTAAGCTCACAAGGTTGCTATGTCAATGCAAATGGCCAAGAGAGTGAGCTTGAGCCAGCCATAGGGCTTAAATAGAAGCCCCCACGAAATAGAGCTGTTGGCTCAATTATTGGGCTGACTGCGCATCGACCGGACGCGCTGCTCGAGTGCACCGGACTCTGCACCGGACGCGTCTGGTAGGTCGATCGAACGCGTCCGGTCGCTCCCAGACCGCCACGTGTCCAGTTCAAACCAAAATAGCCGTTGCTGCCCACACTTATTGACGACCGGACACTCAGACCGGACGCAGAAGTAGAAATGACCGAACGCAGAGCCGCAGTGTTCGGTTGAGTCTAGAGAGTATCTGAGGACGACCGGATGCGTCCGATGACTCCGGACCGGATGAGAAGACACAGTGTCCGGTCGAGTCCAGTAAGCATCCAGGTCCGATCGAACGTGTCTGGTCACTCCAGACCGGACGCTGCCAACATCCGGTCGACTGTTTACTGAACATCGACTTTGTAGATTCACACCGGATGCGTCTGGTGTGGCGACCGAACATGTCCTGTCGCTGAGTTCATCGTTAATACCGGACGCGTCCGGTCACTCTGTGACCAGCGCGACTAACTCCTTTTCATCTCTATCTTCTTCACCCTTGCTCAAATGTGCCAACCACCAAGTGTATCACCTTGTGCACATGTGTTAGCATATTTTCACAAACATTTTCAATGGTGTTAGCACTCCACTAGATCCTAAATGCATATGCAATGAATTAGAGCATCTAGTGGCACTTTGATAACCGCATTTCGATACGAGTTTCACCCCTCTTAATAGTACGGCTATCGAACCTAAATGTGATCACACTCTCTAAGTGTCTCGATCACCGAAACAAAATGGCTCCTACCATTTATACCTTTGCCTTGAGCCTTTTATTTTTCTCTTTCTTCTTTTCAAGTCCAAGCACTTGTTCATCACCATGGCATTACCATCATCATGTCATGATCTTCATTTGCTTCATCACTTGGAATGTGCTACTTATCTCATGATCACTTGATAAACTAGGTTAGCACTTAGGGTTTCATCAATTCACCAAAACCTAGAGCTTTCAGCGGGCTCGGCGGGCATCCATCCAGACACGAGGAGCAGCGGACGTAGGTTGCCAGCGATCCCCACGAGCGTGGGCCCCTGCGTGGGCGTGTGAAAATTAGCCACGGACGGGGGGACGCGGAGTGTAGGCGCGCGCCAGGGAAATAAATCGGCCTGGTCCATAGTACCGTCCGGCAGATCAATATCTGATTGGACATCCGGGCGCCAACAGTTCTGCATCTTCAAACTCTAATTACAACATTTTTGCTTACATGAATGGTGTGTTTTCTGAATGAGTAAAATTTATCAACGGTCCTTAAAGTTATCTGAAGATGTCATCTACGTCCAAAGTCTTAAAATATGTATTTTTTACTCCCTGAAGCTATAATGGGTGACCCGCTATTCTACGTGGTACGTCGATTCAACGCTTACATGGATGTTGACCGATGGGACCCACATGTTAGTGGTAGTATTGTCTGGTTCCCTGAAGTTTGTATCATTTTTTTTTTTGACCATCTTAACGACCTTAAATGACAAAATTCGAAACTAGGAATTTATAGATCTCTACAAGAGCTACAATATGTTTTTATTTACAAAGTATCTTTACTTGACAGCGTACAAGAAAGATATGAATTTTTTAAGACCATGAGCTTAGATACGAGATTAATATGATGCTGAAACTTTATATTATTTTTTGAGTACTTAACTATCTCAAACGAAAAAAACTCAATACTAAGAATTTGTAGATCTTATTGAGAAATACAATTTTCATATACATTTTAAAACATACAATAAAAAATGATTTTTCTAAAACAACAAAGTCTGATACACATTTAATATCATGCTGAAATTTTATATTATAACGGCCTCAAATAGAAAAAATTTAAAGCTAGAAATTTGTATATCTCACTGAGAGTTACTCCCTCCGTTTCAAATTATAAGTCGCTTTGATTTTTTGGTTCATTTATTTTGTTATATATCTAGATGCATAGTAAAATCAAAACGACTTATAATTTAAAACGGAGGAAGTAATATTTTCGTATACAAACTATGAATTAACGGCAGTAGTCAATAATAATGGTTGGTAGTGGCCAGTAGGATCTCAGTGCGAGCGGAAGCAGAGAAGCGTACTTGCTTGCAAGTTGCAACTTTGCAACGATTTAAGCAGGCAAGCAAGCACGTGTAGAAGGCACTTAAAAGAAACCATCCTCGTGCCTTCGGATTATCGCCATGTTTATTTATCTTATAAGCCATATTTTTTTAGTTAATAAATAATATTTTTTTCATAATAAATCAGTCAACAATACTTTCAACCATAACTTATCTCTCAATCGAACATGGCATATGTCGTCCACTGTTAGACTTGGAGGATGATTCACGCGATTACCCGTTCTGTGGACATGAGCAGGACAGCAGCTAGCGTCCGTGCTGTACTCCTGATCCTCTCTTACACTTGTTACTTGAGGTCGACCATCATATTCGCTTAATTATATCAGCCATGCTTATCAGTAATGATATAGTGTTTTTTTCTTATAATAAAATAGCATCAGCCAATTTATAAGCTACGTAAACGATCTAGCGAACAGAGTGCAAGCAAATGGAGATGCACGAAAAAGGGAGATGGAAGGACACGGTGGGCCCACCTCTTGATCTCCTGTTATCTCGTCCCCGGCCAGTAACAATCAGTCTATTCGTTTGGTTGTGTTTGGCTTATAAGCCATGACTTATCAGCCAACGAACAGTATTTTTCTCTTACATCAAATTAGCCAACAGTGTTTTCAGTCATGGCTTATCAGCCAAGTAAGCCCGAACTAACGGGACGAATAACTGACTGCTGCTCCATCATGCTAGGCTTAGCGGTTTTCATCACAAAATATATTATTATTATTATCAAATCAAACCTGACAGCTCTCGTACTTGCTGGGCTATCTTTTCTTGCTGGGACTGGGATGGGAGGAGGAGATTCAGCCGCATAACAATAACAACAATAATGCTCTTTTCCCACTTGATTTGATTTGATTTGATCACCACCATTAATTATTTTGATTCAGGATAAATGTTGAAACGGTAGTCTGCAGATAAAATCCGTGTGCAATCGTTTCCATCTGTTTTCGAGGAACAATAATCAAGCCCGTTGTCCACATGGGACTGCCGTTTTCTTGACTCGCTCCAAATTCTTAGAACACGTCCACGTCCTGTGCTACGATCCAATACACAAACACGCATCAAAATTCCAAGATACGGCTCCTTCTGCTGGCATAAATCAGCCTGTTCGCTTGTTGGTTTCAGCCAGCCCAAATCAATCAGCCAACAATATTTTTCTCTCACAATAAACCAGCACCAGCCAGTCCAAATCAGCCCAGAAACCAACCAGCGAACAGACCAAATATCTCAAGAGCATCACAATCTGCAGAGAGGAAAAAGTGGACACCGTCTACTAATGTGTACTCGTAAGTGATGTTCACCGAGAAAATTGGACGACATTGGAATGGACAAATTCACAGTCGACGCCATACCGTCGTCGAGACAAATTCACAATCTATAGGCGCCACACCGTCCAAGACTCAACCCAGCTGTTTAGCAATGGAGGAGAAAAAGGCACCGTTCGCTTCGTTGAAAAAATAAATCGAAACACTGTTCCGACTAATTTATTACGAGAAAAAAATACTGTTTCAACTAATAAGACAAATGAACAGTGCCAAAATTGTGATGTTCCAAACTGGGCTCTTGTTCACTTTGCAAATTTTTACAACCTGATGAATAGTACCACTTTCGTCTTATTCGGCAAATATTGTCCCATCGTGGACTAACTAGGCTCAAAAGATTCATCTCGTGATTTCCAACTAAACTGTGTAATTAGTTATTTTTTTTACCTACATTTAATACTCCATACAAATAGCTAAAAATTGATGTGATAGAGAGAGAGTGAAAAAACTTTGAATTTGGATGGCATCTAAAAAAAAAAAGGCCTGGGAGCAAAAAAGGTGAGCAGAATTGTGTATGAAAGCCAAATATCTAATCCCGAATGATTTCCAGTACATCGCCGCTGCCGGTGCCGCAGCCTACTTTGAGCCCACTTCGAGACGGAGGAGGGGCCCACCTCGAGAAGGGGAAAAGCCAAAAAGAACAGGACGCCGCCGAAACGCTGAACACATGAACCCATCCCAACTTCCCGCACCAATTCCGACTCCCAACTTGCTCCCAAATCCAAACGAGAAAAATAATGTTCGCTTGCCATGACTGAAGTACTGATTTGTTGTGACAGTTTGGTTGCGCTCGCGCCCCCCGAATCCTCTGGCCTCCCGCCGCCGCCATGGACGACGACCACGACCACGACCAGGACCCCGACGCGTCGCCATCGCCGGCCGCCGGGGAGCGGTGCCCGTGCTGCTGCTCCTCCTCCTCGTCGGCCGTGCCGTGGCGGCGGTCCGTGAAGCGGAAGCTAGGCGCGGAGAAGGGGAAGGAGAGCGGGGAGGCGGGGCACGACGAGGCGGGCCCCGCGGCGCGGGTCGAGGCGGAGGACGAGTGCGCGGCGCTGCGGGAGGCGGCGGCGTCGGCGCAGTCCGCGGCGTCGGCGCTGCGGGCCGAGGTCGAGGAGGAGCGCCTCGCCGCGGCCAGCGCCGCCAGCGAGGCCATGGCCATGATGCTCCGCCTGCAGCGCGAGAAGGCCGAGGTCCAGATGGAGCTCCGCCAGTTCCGCCGCTTCGCCGACGAGAAGATGGCGCTCGACGCCGCCGACATCGACCAGCTCCGCGCGCTGCTCGCGCAGCGCGCGCGCCGCCTGGTACAGGCTGCAGTTCCTCCACTTCGGCATCCCGCTTCCCGAGGGCGAGGGCGAGGACCTCGTCGCGCAGAGCGCCGCCGAGGAGGAAGAGGACCTCCTCCTGCTCGAGGGCGAGGACGGCTACGTCGATGGCGATGGCGGGTACTACCCTGAGCTCCGCTGCAACGACGGGGAGTACTACTATGAGGACGGGCAGGAGGAAGAGGATGCGGTTGCCCTCGATCTGGAGCGCCGGATCTGCCGCCTCGAGCACGATCAGGAAACTCGCCTGCTTGAGCCACCCCTTGTGGAAGAGCAAGAGGAAGGCACCCACCTCTACACAGATGAGGCGTTGCCGAACTTGTCAGGGCATGAACGGGGTGGCCTCTATGCTGATGAGGTGTTATCTGAGGAGGATGTGGAAGCAAGGAGCAACCTCCACAATGATGATGAAGAGCTGCCGGAGTCTCCTACTGCTGGAAGTGGTGACGGGGAGGAAGCAAGCGAGGCTGATGGTGTTGACAGTGTAAGTGGCAGTTGCAGTGATAGGGTATACACCATTGACAAGGTGCATCAAGGTGCGTCTGCGACTATTGCAAGGGTCATGGATAAGTACCAGGGCGAGGCAGTGGAGCCAGACATTAAGAAGCTTTACATGAGGCTGGAGGCACTGGAGGCCGATAGGGAGTCGATGAGGCAGGCCCTTGTGGCAATGCGCACAGAGAAGGCACAACTTGTGCTTCTTCGTGAGATTGCGCAGCAGCTTGCCAAGGATGGAGCTCCAGTTGGGTCAGGAGCTGGGGCGGGACCAGGTGTACACCAGTCGCGTAGAAAACACACAGTTGGGATTGTAGAGAGGAGATTCACGGAGGACAAGAAGGCGGCACTTGTCAAGACATATTCCATGGTTGCCTTGTTTAAGGTATGCTGCTTGTTTTACTGATACTGGCAGTGCAAAATATTGCAGGATTTTGCTGGAGATCACCTTTATTTAGTAGATTATTAATACTGTGTGGTTTATTAAGATCTAAGTTGCGATGGTTGTGTGCTGATTTAGTATATAAATCACTTGTAGATTTTTTCATTCATTCGATCAAGTAGGATGCTGCTATCTAATATCTATGAGCACTCTAGCTGATATTTGAGCATATTTAGGAATTGTTGTTGTAGAATGCAGAATATAGCTGTTGCTGATGCAGTATGTAGCTGTTCATTTTAATGGTCTGTCCAACTCTAAAATTCAAATGATTTTGCTAGTTGGCCCTAAAGTAGCAATGTTTCTTTTTTTTGTAACAAATTAACTATGTTTAATATGATTATCTATTTGCAACCGTTTTTCCTAGTTTCTTTTATTAGGGACCAAAGTTGGGAACTGTTATTTGCTATACACAGTATGAATTCAAGCTAGGGTGGTTCTGTGCTATATTGAATGCAGCACATCTGAGCTCATTCATTCTTTGGTGCATCAATGAAGAGATAAATTTGGAATATCAGTCTGCATAGTTCTTGCTGACTGACTGGCTTGATTGAAATTAATGTTGCTTACTGCTGTGACATAATTTATTCCAGATACATTTTTAAAAAAAATAAGGCCAGGGGATTGCACTTTCAGAGTTCTGTTTGTAGTTTGTTAATCCAGTTCTGCTCACCCTTGAGCATCTGTTAGAAAAAAAAACATTCTGCATGGGTGAAACTTAGAGGGTGTCTGTGTGTGTGTTTAGGCGGGGGGAAATTTCCTGCCAATCTTGATGTTTATCGTATAGTTGTAGTCCTTGTGGCAGTGGCTTGCTGGTCAATCGTGGATTGTAAAGACAATAAATGGCAAGCTGCCTAGCTCCCTGTAGTGCGAATCTTGTGGTCCACAGCAGCAGGGCATGTGCCTTAGAGGCAAATTTTACTTTCTCGGTTGTCTATTTGTGGGGTGAGATATTGTTTTTTTTTCTTGAGCAGTCACACTTAACCATGTGACCAACATACCATTAGGGCACTAACACATGAATATCTACCTAACATAAAAGTTGAGTAAAACAAAATAAGGGCGTGTTTGGTTTGTTACCAAACTTCGCCGCAGACCACCACAACTTTGACGCCACAGTTTTGCATGCGTTTGTTTCGTGCCCAGAGTTAAGGCGCCGCCAGAACTCATCAATGCTGCGTAAGTCAGTTTTTATGCCAATCCGCGCCGAATCTGAGGTGAGCTATTTGTTCGCCCAACTTTTGGCGTCGCCATGACTTCGGTGCGGCATGCATAGCCGGCGTCCAAACAGACCGTAAATAAATAAAAACTGGCTGTAGGTACTATTCCAGAAGCGCTTAAATAGATTGCTATATTACACCTCTACATAATGTTAAATGTTCTTTAGATGTGAGCCCGTGACATTCCTTAATAGTCTTTTCCCAAACCTAAGTATTTGCTGTTATCTTTTGCAGTGGGTCCTCACTTTATTTGGCAAGAAAGAGAAGCTATCTCAAAGCAGGTAGGAGAGACTTCAATTGGAATTCAGTTCATGCTATATACTTATTTTATCTGTAAAGCACGGTGATATTGACTACTTTCCTACTTGGTTGATAGGTATACTTTTGGCTTATCAAGTAATAATGTTGGTTTGCTCCTACTCTTGGATAAGTGCCCACGGATCCAGAAAACCCTCACGAGAACAAAGTAAAACCTGCCGAAAGATGCAGCAGCAGCTGTACAATGTAAATAAATAGCTGTCAGTTGGGAAGTTTGCATCAGATTGCATTTTTTTTGTTAATGTTGGGTGGAGCCAGAGTTCTTTTGATTCTTTAGTTGATGATTTCCTGATTTCACATCTTTGGTGATGAGGATACTATGTGTTGGTCTTGCAATTGTTCAAGTCACAAAAACGCTTTTGCTTCTTTCTCACCAGCAAGAGCTACAATGCATGTATAGTGCGGTTGTAATACACTGTGGTGGTTGGTTTGCTTGCTTCCAGGTTGATGAGTGAATATTTATGAATTTTAGCTTACAGGTCCAAACTGCAAACTTTTGTGGAAAAATGTTGTGTGCAAACCAAGTCTGCTTATGCTTGTATATGTTCAGATTTGTTGGACTGCCCAATCTGTTTAATCGGAAATTTGTGTAAAATTCCTGATCCGAAGGGCCGCCCTTCCAAAATATCAGTAACTACACTGGAGCTGTGTTTGGATACATTCTATCCACACGTGTGTTGGGAGTCGATACTAATGCATTCAAACAAGCCTTGAAATGGTAGGTGGAACCAATACAGGTACGCTGTTTGCATGGCACTTATCTTTATGCTCACACTTCTGACTGAAATCTGATACACTAGGTAGCTGGGTATCTTAGCCGAAAAAATTATCACAGAACCTATGCTACCTGTACAATTTGATTCCCTTGTCATCTAGTATATCTGTTGGTTTAAGTTTCTGCTTTTGTGAATTTCCTCATCTAGATGTTTGTCGCTTGAAAGCTTGAGGTAGGAGTAGTACAGAAATATACTGAAATTGCCTGTGAATTGAGATCCAGACATGTAGTACAAGTAAGCAACTTAACGTTGCACTGCTCCTTTGCTTGTTCACGTCTTGATGGTTCTTTCGTGTATGAGCCAGCAACCATTTTGGAATTTTGGATGATATATGTCAGTGAACCCACATGTATCCGAGTGCTGTTTGCCACATGATGTGTTCTGGTACTTAAAAAGGAGTTCAGGGCAGCACAACATTTGACTTCACTCTTACAGGCAAAACACACACCAATAATCAGTAAATAGGTAAATACAATAGCTGACATCATTGGTATATGTAACAGTTTCATCATTCAAACTAGTAGAATGGAAGGAACAAAGGAATTAATTAAACTCTCGAAATCTGAACCAGGTGGAGAATGATAGAATGCAACTGATTTTGCTTGCTTCTTTGATGGGCTCGGCTTCTGCTATGTCAATTTCTGTTATATCAGCGCAGTTAACTTAATTGATTGACGCTTGCCAGGAATTAACAGATGTAATTAGCCAGAGAACCTTCAGATATAATTAGCCAGAGAACCTTCAGCTTTGATGGCCATCTTGGTGACTATTGATAACATTAGTGTTACAACAGTAAGAACATTGTAGCTTTCAAATTCCCATCGATAGCATTGCCTGTGAGTCCCAGTATTCTTTGGCCTGCTTCACCATCACACTTCGCTCTTCGCGCAGTCTCTTCGCAAAGTAATCTTTGTCCCTGGTTAGACAAGAGATGCAAGTTAGATCTAGAACACATATAATACTTTCTCACAACAGGTGCAGGTTAGATTCCAATACCTTCTCTTGAGGAGTAATTCGAGTTCAGTCATATGCACGGCACGACCAAACACACCAACCTGAAGATCGTCAAATCCAAATCACCACCATGGAAGATGAAACAGTGTGCGAATACAACTTTCGTCATGTATTTATGGGACAATTCATTGTTTAGAACGTAGCATGAATGCCAAGGTAATTTATGGTGATGTAAAAGAAAAAAACTAAACCAACCTAGGACGAACTAGGAGGCTTTGTATTAAGAAGAAAACATGACTATATTCGCCTCGACGATTTATGGGTGATGTAGCAAAGGTTATCAAAGAAAACATGTCACAAATGGAAGATACCACAAAGAGAAGATGTTTCACGGCAACAAGGAGACTGAACAAGAATGATGTCTGGCAGCAAGTAGGATTGCTCACATACCGCTCGGCATACAGGGCACTTGGCCTCCGGAGGTGCCGACTTGACACCCTGGAAGATGTAGACAGAAGCAGCACCACATGCACAGGCTTTGCAGAACAGATGCCCACAGCTAAGTGCACAAGGGTTGAACAAAGTGTCCTGTACACATTATCAGTGGAAAAATCATCACAAATGGACACTAAAATCAGCACACATATATTCAAGCAAACTGAAGAGGGGGAAAAGATACCCTGCAGGGACAACATGCAAAGTTTCCACAGCAAATTTCCCTACCAACAAGGACTACCCTTTTAGTTCTATGATATTTATGAGCCAAAGAAAACGGAAGTTAAAGAATTTCTCACCAAGCAAATCGGACAAGTTAGGCTGTACTCATACTTCAGAGTTTCAGAAATGGTCATTGTCAGTAGTGGCTGTGCTCCACTCAGATCACAGGAAAAATTCTTGAAGAATCCATTCTTGAAGAACCCTCCAGCTCCAGGTTCATCAACAGACGAATCATCACAGTTGAGATGGAAAGCACCAAGCTCTATCAGCCAAGGTGACTGCAACAGTTCAATATGCTCAGTTTGCATCTTGCTCTTGAAATCTCTGCCACTCACAGAACCATGTATCTGCAGGATTATATAACTATATAAATACACAAAGATACATTGAATATGTCTGCTCCCTTGGCTTCCTTGGTGGATGCTGGCTAGCGCAGCTACACTACACCTTAGGCTACCAATGTGTTTTTGTCTTCCTGTAATAGGCTCAGTCTGTAAGGGTTTGGTGGTGGAGGCCCTACCCCCGGTGCTTTCTTGCTGTATCGTTTGTGTTTGTGGGATTGTGCTGGTAATTTTAGGATTACCGGCCAGTCATCGTTGTTTGGTTCGGTGTTGTCTACTTCCTCTTAATGAAATACGTGCTACACGGCACGTTCGAGAAAAAAAAAAATATGTCTGCTGACAATCAGGAGATCAACACTTACCTTGTCATATTTCTTGAGAATTTTGCGAATAGCAATAGCATTCATGGTCACATAATTGAGAAGCATTCTACCTTCTTGAACCATTATTTGCTGATCATCTACGAAACACTGCCTAAAACGCCATATACAGCTTTGTAGTCCTGAAGGGACATGAAGATGGAGGAGGCGTTGTACTCTAGATCTGAAACAACCTGCTATTTCTGATGCCTCCTTGTTGAGTTCTGTAAAGAACATCTCATCACACACTGAACAAGAACGATACTAAAAGTTAAAATCACAGTAGTATAAGTTGTAAGACAAGCAGAACAAGATGAAAAAGGAGTAGCAAAATGTAAAGTAATGTCCATAAGTAAACTATTCTAGTCAGGCTATCTAGTTCTAGGTTTCCAGCTATGAATTTATATGGTCGGACCAGGAATAGTCCATAGTTAGGTCAAACAGACATGAATACTCGCCCACCTAAAACTAATAATATTTCCAAAGCAAGGAGTTCAGTTGTACAAAATGAAATGACTATTAATCTTTCATGGAAGAGAATAATAACTGTTGTCATCTTTCTTTGGTTTTAAAATCTCGTTTCATCAAGTTGATGCCAAATTAGTCCATTTTTTATCATAAAAATATGACTATTTCCTCAGAAGTTCCTGAGTTGCAAATTGTAATAAAATCACATGCGGTTCAAAGTAGCAAACTAAATGGCAAGTGCGAATGATTTTTAACTATGGTGATAATACATTATTTTGCTTCCATATCATAAACATAAAACACGCGCATCAAGATGGAGGAGCAAGGTCTGCAATGGTAGACTATGGGCATACATGTGCATGAGTTGCATTCACAAATGTTTGAAGATTCGTCACTCCCCTCCTGCTGCTCATCATCATTTGTGCCATCTGCTTGCAGTGAGCGACCAACTCGACATTTCTTCAATACCTTCTTGAGGTGTTTGTATTCTACATGAGAGCATTGTCCTAGGAATATGTCCTGCTCTGCCCGGAGATACTCCTCATATGTGGCACCGAACTTCATCTTGTCAACTGGAAAAAAGAAAATGATAATGAACTATAGCCATGCAATGTTGAGGAGATTATGCACTCCATCATGAATTGTAACAACGAAATAAATCAGCAGACACTCAATGCCTTATGACATCTAATGAGCACATTGGTCACAGTATTATGTCCAAGATTGGTAAAAGGGACATTTTCAGTTGCAATTTTTAATCTGTCATCGCGCAACCGAAATTTCACAGAAGAGATGTTTTTAACATGCAAATGCACTTTCTTTGGGAATAATTTAATTTTGATCAAAATTAGCTTTGCATGCATGAATTAACTGATACAGATAACGGTATTCTGCAAAAGAAATACATGGCATAGAATCTAAATTGTAATAACGGATAAAAAATATCAAATAAAATAGTAATACACAATGAAAGGAGAGGCTAAGCGAACTGATTTAGCTATAGTTATATATCCTTTTTTTATGGACCATAAAAATGTAAAATTGGTATCCAGAAAATGTAATAGAGAATATGGAATTATAACTCCTGCTGCATGCTATCCAGTAGCCACAACATCGTTGCCAGGCATAGTGATCCTAACTATTGATCTTTCATCAGTTGCAGTTTGTGCTGCTGTGATTATACAGTCTTGCCCCTCCTTGTAATTTCAGTAGAAGACAAAACTTTAAATTTACAAGGTTCCATAAGAATATCTTCTATATATTTTAGGAATTTAAACATAGGTGAATTCAACTTTCTCTGTATGACTGCAATTGCATACTCAGAAATTTCAAAAAGAAAAGAACTAATGATTTCTGCACCAAATGGGCCAATATTATAAACGCGCAGAACAATGCGGTCGCTGACTTTTGAACCTTAAAGGAAAAGATATGATCTTATCGATCCAAGGTAAATAACATCAGTGCCAAATTGTGCAAGAACGTCAACATCATTGCACCAGCAACGTATTATTCAAGCTAACTGAATGTAGCATTTGGA